CCCATCAAATACCCCACGGAAGTCTGTATTTCCAATCTTCCCTTAGACTATCCCACCCTACCAGCATGTTTTCAATATCTTGCAGGTAAGGCAACCATTAACCTCACAACCTCACATATGTCAGTCATATTTAACTAAACAACATATCATTATAATTGCTCCAGTGAAACCCCATTTACAAATAGTTTTTTAAACTCCACCAAAGGTTTAGTGTGCGTAAATGTATACTTTTTTCTCAATATACTATATTTACTACAGATACATCCCGTAACTAAATTTTATATAACCCAACCTATACATCTTGTATGAGTCCAAAGTTCATATTCCATCCGATTTATGTATTACAAATTTCAGTCATATTTAGCTTTGTTTTTGTACCAAAGTTCAGCGGACAGTCTTGTATGTTTTGAAAATTTCCTCGGCCATCCTTTTTTTAGGACAAATTGCATATGACATCCGATGTATTTTACAAGTTTCCTTCGTCATCGAGTTTTAGTACCAATGTCATATTACATCTTTTATTTTGACAATTTCCTCTTAACTCCTTTTTGGTGGACAAAGGTGCAGATTACATCCTTTTATTTTTTACAAATTCAAGTACAATCTTTTTTTTTTACAAACGTGCATCGTGACATCGATTTAGTTTGTCCAGAGTGTCCATTAGTACGTCTTGTATTATTCCACTTTCCTTTCCATCCCTATTTTTATTCCTTTCCCATACCACTCTACAATGTAACATCGTACAACAATTAACCAATCACCATCAATAATCAAATACCCCACTTTCACCTATAATTATCATTATATTTCCATTATTTAACATTTCCCTAATATCCCCCTTTGATAATTATCCTTCTCATTTCATATCCCCCATCATCAATCATAATTATTTAACCCGCTTAACCAATTAACCCCCACTTCCCTACACTTACCAACACATATCCATATCATTACCCTCCCCATAACCATCAACCCCACCCTACCCACTTCACTTTATATTAAACCACTCAAAACTCTCTTTCACCCTTGCCCTCTTATTTTCCCATTATCTATTACCAAATAATAAAACAAAACAATTCATACAACAATACATCACCAAAACACTTTAAAATTAGAAAAAAATATACCAATAACCCACAATATAAATAAAAATACCATATTAAAATAATATCATGAATACAACTGTCCATAAAAACACCTATTCTATGAATTCTATCATAACATTATCAACACAATAAATGATAATTTAAATAACCGACACCCGATATTACATTAACTTAAACTTTTTCCCTAACTTTTTACAAAATATATTCACTTATCCAAAACTTAAATAAAACTAATAACATCCTAAAAACTACACAGTAACCTCCTCACACTCATAACTTCATCCTAAACAACAAAACCAAATACCACTCTTTCCTAATTTCTCCTCACCTCTACTCTAACAAAATCTCAACTTCCCCTATAACTCACACCCATAACACATTTAACTATATAAAGAAATTAAACCCACCACACCAAAAATCAACCACCCCTTCCTCCCCCCACCCCTTACTACCACTCCCATACATCTTCCCTCTTCCCAACATTGTTCATACTTCAATTACAACTCTCCCAAACCCCTCCCTCTACAACCTCCCCAACCCAACCCAAACAAATCAAATCCCCACCCACTCCTCCCCCATTCAACACCCTCAATAAAAACCCTTCTATACCTTTCACATCACTACCTTTCTATTCAACATCAATTTAATCTTCTCCTTCCTCGTCCATCTTTACAACATATACCATCATCCTTCCTATCCAACATTTCCACTCTCATCAAAATAACCACCTATCTTCTAACCATATCTCTAACATCTATCACACCTATATCAATCCTATCTATCTTCCTCACATATCCTCCAATTGGTACACCCAACCTGTATACACAACATACCCCACCACATACAAAACCACCATTTTTCACACCCATCTTTTTTTCTTCATCAATATACCCACAACCACTCTCCACCAACCCCATATCATACCCCCCTTTTCATCCACATATATAACTCCTTCCCCCCCCCCACATACAACCTTAACCCCCATCCCACCACAATCAATCAAATCCCCAAAATACCCAAAAAAACTCTCACTTACACCCTTACACTTCCCCCACCCAACCAACCTACACACATCCCAATCAAACTTCACCCCCCACCAACATTTAACTTACCCAACCAAATCATCTACACAACACAACACCACACAACATCTATCACCACACAACCAAAACACAACAATAATATCCCCCTAAAAACCTTCATATCCTAACTTACACCTATCACCTCTTAATAAAATAAAATAATAAAATTACTCCACAATACCTCATAATCCCACACAATTAACACACCTACACCCTCCATCCCCCTATAAAACCCCCCACACCACAAAATCCCTTATCTAAAAACCACACAATTTTAAAATCATCCTTATACAAATTATCCCCATTATCCCATCTATCACCCCCACACATCGTAAAATCCTCTCTCCTAAACAAAAACCCCCCTGAAAACTAAATCCTAAAAAACACCCAACTTATTAAAACCTTCAACCAACCAACAACCCCCAACATTTCAAAAAACCAAACCCTACCCTACTAAATCCCACCTCCAACAAATAAACCACAACAAAATCTAATCTCAACAATAAAATTCACCATCATCTCCCATCCACCTTCCACCCCCCCCACACAACCAACTCAATAAAACACATATCACACCTCACTCACAAACATAAATACCTACAAATCCCCCCCTTCTTCCTAAACCATCCAACAACCTCCACCTCCCTTCGTTCTAATTTTAAATATTTAAACCACTCCACCAAAATTATACTAATTTAATATTATATCCCCATAAACCCCTCACCATATACCAATACCACCTCCTCACCCCTCCAACACAAAACCTCCACACCTAAATAATTAATTAATATTCTATAATATATTCTTACATCTTCTCCTAATATAACCCACTTTTCCTAAACCCTTATCCACCCCCCCCCCCCCACCCCCACCCCAAACTTCACAAACAACCCCCCCCACCACCTCCACAACAATCTTATACATAAATATACATTACCCTACACCATTACCCATTCCTCCCAACCTCAAAAGTATCTCAATACACCTACACCCATCTCCAACCTATCTATTTGATATCTCTTCTTTTCACAACATTGCACCACAAATCCAAAATCACCACAATCCAAACTATTCCACACACTAATTTCATATGCACCCAATACAAACAATAACAACAACCCAAAAAAATACTACATAATTAAATCCTCATAATCCACCAAATTTACTAACACAACACATCCACTACAACTAGTTTAAAACACCACATCAAACATCTCAAACTCATAACAAAAACAACTCCAATCCCATACTACCCATACCAACTCCACAACCCCCCCCAACAAACACACACCACTTTCCAACTATTATCAACATATACCACCACAATAAAATCATAATACATCTCAACCCCTCTAAATTCACAACTCCAACATCACCACAAAACCACACCCCACCCCCACCACCCTCATCACCCATAATACCTAAATACCATCCAAAACCACATTACACAAAACCAACATCAAAAATCATATCACTAAAAACAATAAAACAACTTATAAATAACAATACAAAAACAACTTTCATACCTAACCTAATTTTATTTAAAACATAAACAATTCTCTATTACAACATAAAATAATTGTCCTAACCTAACCTATCCTCAAACCAATATCAAAAAAAACCCAAATCCATCCTCTATATCAAAATTAACATAAACCAAACTTTTTTTTTCTTCTAAACACACTAACGGATCTTAAAACCTTACTCCTTTTCCATATCTCACTCTTCCACATAACCCCCTCATACACCCCACTAACTACCCATTATTACACCTTAATACTACCATACACACCCTTAAATATACCCCCATTCTTAATATCTTCCTCACACATAACTACACCTAATCACACATAACTCCTCACATAAATCCTCACTTATTACCACAACAAACAACACATTTCAATCATCATCATCCATACACATATACCACATCCCACTTCCTCTCCTCACCATCATATCCATCACTACTATCCTCCCCCCACCACTCCAATCAACACCAATAAAATAACCCATTATTTAATACTAAATTCAAATACAACTCAAATTAAAGCTTAAATACTCAATTCATATATATTACTATACTCCACAATCCAACCACCCCTACAGCCTCTTTCCACATACAATTCAATACTCCATAGATAACTACCATAAAAAATCCATTCATTAAGAAAAACACCCTACTCACTCCCCATTAAACTTAATAAAACTACCCCTATACAATCTCCACACAACACTACTAAAAAACTCCATCCCCACTAAAAACAATAAAAATAATAACTTTCCCTCCTAAACACTCTATATCATCATAACTTTATACTAAAATCTTCACCAAAAATACACACCACCTAAAATAACCTAACCAACAAAAAACCCATATCTTCCCCCCTTATACCTCAAATCCATCTTTGATCTTACCATCCCCAACACAAACATAATATAACATCACCTTCCATTCCCATCTCAATGCTACACATATCCCTTACAATACAAACATACCTCAAAACAACCACATACACATACCACTATAACAAATACACAAAAACAAACACCATAACCAAAACAATAACACAACAATCATCCACTCCCTCTCCCCACACAAACACCACACCACCAATACCCACCCAAATTCCCCCCCATCTTTCTTACACACCACACACATCACTTTACCACACCCCCTCTTCCATTTCTCATCTTTAATTCCTACACCAAATCCATACCACTCCATCCCCAAACATTCCCTCTCACTACCTCTTAATAACCTATGCAAAAAAGCCTCATACCCCCCCCACCCCACTTCAACCTTTACCATCCTCTATCCCTCACCCCCTTTCCCACCATATCCCAAACCCCACCCTTCCACCACCCTCACCACACATCTCCCAATTACAAACACCCTAAAACCATAACCAAAAAACCTTCAAAACCCCACTCAATTCCAATCCCCTACCCCCCCCCTTCATACCACATCCCCAAATACCCCCCCCCCTTCATACACATCAAATCCCAAATACCCCCCCCCCCTTCATACCACATCCCAAATACCCCCCCCCCTTCCATACCACATCCAAATACCCCCCCCCTTCATACCACATCCCAAATACCCACCACCCTTCTAACAACATCCCAAATTCCCCACCCCCTTATACCACATCCAAATACCCCCACCTTCATACCAATCCAAATACCCCCCCCCCTTCATACCACATCCCCAAATACCCCCCCACTTCATACCACATCCCAAATACCCCCCCTTCTTACCACATCCAAATTCCCCACCCTTCATACCACATCCCATAATACCCCCCCCCACTCATACCCTTAATTAACCAACCCAACTGATTAATAAAATTCCATACCCCATTCACAATACAAACACCCCCAAATTCTTATAAAACAACTACAATTTAAACCCTCCCAATCACACCATCATAAACATACCAATCCCTCCACAATTAAATTCTAACCATACTCCCAACCCAGCCTCAACAATCCCACCATCAGAACATTTAAGTAAATAAACATTATCACACAAATTCACACACCTACACCAATTTAAATAATGTATATTAAAAATTTACACACCCTCCCGTTTTCATCTCTCTTTAGTCTTAAATTAAACATTGCCATAATCCTTTGCATACCTTGATTATAGCCACAGATCATACCTTATTCCATCCTAACAATCATTTTAATTACTCAATATAATCATCACAACTTTAAATCTCCTGTTTTACATTCCTATTATGTTTCTAGTTCACCCTTAATGGCTCTCCTCCCATACACCTCATCTCTCCACTTCCTTGATGCCAATCACATCTTACTACAACCTTTTGGCCAACTCCCATGATTTATTATTATTTTTTCATTTACGTCCATTCATTTTCTCTCACACTCATTTCCTCTTCCTCTTCTTTACGTCTCCGATACCGACTCAGGGTCCATGACTTATTTATTTAACCGCCATGCATTTAATATCTTATCGAGTATAATACAACCTATTACTGAAAATACCTTTGGCCACCAGATATTCTTCAGGGTTATTCAGTCATATGCATGTTAAGTCTTTTAAATGCCCGGGCTTGATCTTGCCAATTATGCGTCTACTTAGGGACCTGCCTTTACACTCTTGAGTAATAATTGCAGTTTCCTATTCCACTTAACTTCCCCCTTAACTAGTTAATCCAAAATCATGTTAAACCTTTAATACTTTTAACTTGTCCTATCAATTCATTCAAATATATCCCTCTTTTAGTGAATCAACCATCAGATAGTACAACCCATCTCCTCTCCTATACCCAAACCATCTACAAATCTCTATCACCTAATCCGGTCCCTCATTACAATTCATAATAACCAATATTTTATTCTCATATATTCGTAATACACACACTCACAATTCTTAAACATCAATAATACAACAACTAATATTATATACTTATCATTTCACCAAATAAAAATCTAAATCACATATAAAACTAACACAATAAAAAAAAAAATTAAAAAAAAAATAAATAAAACAAAATATAAATAACAATATATAAAAAATTTTATTTTCAAATATTAATTGATCCAATATAAAACCCAATCATACGATTTTCCACTCATCAATGTAATATAAGCATAAATTTCAAAAATACCAATACCCAATTCCAGACTAACAAGTTCCACTACCCAATGTCATTCTAACATTTCCAATACCCCAATACCTGTCACAAATAGCCAATAACAAGTCAGACTCAAATATCCAATGTAAAACCAGTCATACTCAAATATTCAATAAACACTTCCTACCAAATATTCCAATAACCATACATACTACAAATATCCAATTAAACAATACCATACACCACGATCCACTACAACATACATAACCCCAAATATCACTCACACCCTACCTATCACACATATCCAATAAAAAATACATACACCATATCCACTCCACCATACTAACCCATGTCAATCCACAATTCCTACACCCTATCCACTCAACCCTACTTCACAAATATTCCAATACCACTACCTCCACCAAATATCACTAACCCCTACCTACACCAAATTCCATAAAAACCAATTCCATACACCACTATCAATACCCAATACATACTCAACTTTCAATCCCCACATACATACACACAATTTCCACATACCCAATACTACTCCCATTGCTAATAACCAATACATACACAAATTTCCACTCCACCAATACATACTACACATTTCAATACACCAATACCTACACCCATATCCTCAAAACCCAGACATACACACATATCCATAAACCACTTCATTCACCACTTTCCAATCACCCATACATACACACTTTCTATCCCCACTACCCTACACACCTATCACATACCCTACATACACCAAATTTCCAAACACCCAATACTACACACATAATCCACTACCCCCATACTACTCCAAGATCCCTTAACCCCCCATACATACACCCCTATTCCATTCACCCCCCTACATACACCAAACATACCAAATTTCCTATAACCAATTTCATTAACAACTTTCCAATACCAAAACTTTCTACAATATCCTATCCCAAATACATTCACAATATCTCTCACCATACATCACAAATTTCCCTCGACCAAATACATACTCAACGATCCAATATCCCAATACATACACCAAAACTTTCCTATACACCCTAATCTTACTCAAATAGCCACCCACCCATACCTACACCCTATTCAATCACCCCCACATACACCCTATCCACTCCCACAACATACACCCCCTATCCACTCCCCCCTACCTACACCCCCATCCACTCCACCCATACTACACCCCCATCCTACTCCCCCTACCTACACCCACCTATCCACTCCCCCTACATACACCCTATCCCTCCCACCACTACATACACCACTTCACTACCCCATACCTACACCCCATATCCATAACCCCTACATACACACATATCCAACACCCCCCTACCTACTCCACATATCACTACCCCATACATACACCCCCTACCACTCCCCCATACCTACACAATATAAATACCCACTACATACACAACTATCCATCACCCCTACCCTACCCCCCTATCCACTCCCCCATACCTACACACCTAGCCACTCACCACTACATACTCCCCTATCACTAACCCACCTCCTACACCCATATCCAATCCCCATACCTACACCAAATATCCACTCCCCATTCCCTACACACCTTTCCACGACCCCCTACTACACACTAGCACTAAACCATACATACACCATATCCTATACCCTTACATAACCAATATCCACTACCCACTACATTCTCAACGATCCCATCCCCACTTCCTACACACCTATCACTACCCCATACCCATACACAAAGTCCTATAACCACTTCCCTACACCCTATCCATAACCAATACATTCACCCATATCCTATAACCAATACCTACACAATTTCCAATACCCAATACATACACAAATAGCTGACCAATACATACTCCACATCAATAACCAATACATACACAACTGCCAATAACCAATACATACAACACCTATCCCAATAAAATCAAAACATACTCAAATATCAATACCCAATACAGTACACCAAATTTCCAGAACACAATCTACACTCACCCACATAGCCATACCAATACCACCACTCACCTCCCCCCACGAACACCAAACTCCCCCCCAAGCGCCAACAAACACACCATCCATACCCCCACACCCACATCCCCACTCACACCAATTCCTTACACCAATACATACCCCCGAACACCACCACACCCACAAACGATCCAATAACACACATTACACTCACAAATCATCAAACCCCACAACCCAATTCACCCCGATCACAAACATCCCCATCCAACCCCACCAACCCATCCAAACTATCTACAACCATTCCCTCACACCCCTATCAAGACACCAACCTCATACTCCACCACATTTCAATACATCGCCCAACCCACAATCTACCAAAACACTTTGCCCCCTAAACACACTCCTTTTCATCTTTTCCCCCACAACACCACCAACCACTAATCCCCATTCCAACCCCATTCACCTTCCCCCAACACCACATCCATTCTTTAGCCACCCCCCAAACACCCCACCCCCACCAATTACATACACCACGCCCCCCATCCATATCACCCAATCAATACCAACACAATCACCCCACCATTCCAACCCCCACCCCAACCCACCCCCCCACAAACACACACTCTACTCCATTACACCATCCCAATACCACCCTCTTCCCCCCTTCAGTAACCCACCTCTTCCCACCATTGTTCCTCTTACCCCAAATTGGTATCACATGCCGAACCAAGGACAGACACACAAAGATCCTATACACCCAAGTCTACACACACATTTCCCATACCCCCAGACCAGCCCCCCAACAGTGCGTCAACCATACATTCCACTCTCAATCCCCAATAACAGACCTCACATTTCTCATCACACCACCCGTCCCAACATTGCCCCTAACCAACATCTTTCACAAAGCGCCAACACCCCCCCGCCCCATGTGCACTAGAAACCAAGTCATCCACACCAACACCCTCACAACCACGCCAGTCACATAACCGCCCCCATACGCCCACACCAGTCATTCCAAATTGCACCCCCCCACTAACCCAATCTTTCTACCCAGCCAACAACACCCCATCCTCCTAACAACGTCGCAACACCCCAATGCCCGATCAAAATAGCTAGAAACCACATCCCCAGTCCAACAAACATCCCTATACCACCCAAGCCCATTACTCAACACAGCACTATAACCCCAATTCCTACAACACCATCCTATACCCAACTACAGACAACACCTATCAATACCCCACACCCTCAAACCATCAACACATAACACTACATCAATTCCCCACCCACACAACCAATCCCCTACACCCCACCACAACCCTACCACACACACCCCCCCCCCCCCACAAACCAAACCCCACCACCCCAACAACCACCCCCCCCCCACACCACCACCCCCCCCCCCCCCCCCCCACCACCCCCAACAACCCCTACATCATATACCAACAATCCCCCCCCCCAACACCCCCCCACCCCCCACCCCACACCACCACCCCCACACCATACCCCCCCCCCGCCATACCAAAACCACAACAACACCCAACCAAAACCACCCCCACCACCCCCCCCCCAACACAAACACCTCAACACCCCCCCCCACCCCAAACCCCCCACCACAACCACCACCACACAACCCTACTACCCACACCCCCCCCCCCCCCCACACCAACCACATAACCACCCCCCCCACCCCCACCACCAACACCCAACCCCACCCCCCCCCAACCCCACCCCACCCCAACCTCCCCCACAAAACCCCCCCCCCCAACCCCCCACCCCACCACTCCCCCCACACCAACCACCCCCACCACCCCCCTCCCCCCCCCTACCCCACCCCCACCCACACCACACACCATCACACCCCCCACACCCCCCCCCCCACCCCCCCACATCCCCACCCCCCCACCCAACCAACACCCCACCCACCACACCACCACACCTCACCACACCATCACCACCCCCAAAACAAACCAAACCCCACCCACCCCCCCCACACCCACAACACACCAACCACACCACCCACACCCACCTCCAACCAACCACTCAGACTCCCCTAACACTCACCAACTCTAAACACACACACACTACCCACATCCTGACTCCTCCACCTCACATCCCCCTATACACCTTCACCCACCTATCCTCCTCCTACCCACTTCTCTCCACACCTCTCTACCTCTCCTGTTCTACAACCTCTACTAATACCTCCTACCCACCTTCTTCCACACTCTCTCAACATACACTCATCACTCTACTCAGCTCCACCACCTCCCCCCCCATACCCCCTCACTCTTCCAGCACTCCTCATCTCCATACTCCTCCTCCCCACTCCTGCCCACCATCACTCCCTGTTCACTACAAACTCCGCATTACCACTTCATCTCTCAACTCCACCTCCATCCCGCTAAACTCCCCCTGTACTCCCCCTCCTCCCCCCCCCCTATCCACTCCCTCAACTCATCTCACTAATCTCCTCCTCTCCATGCTCCTCCTCCTCCTGCCCCTCCTCCATTCTCCTATCCTCTCTCCTCCTCCTCCTCCTGCCCCCCACCTCCTTCACCTCCTCTCACATCTCACACACCCCCTCAAATCCCCACACCACACACCTACCCACCCTTACCCCCTCTCATCCTCCTAACACCACTATCCCCCCCCCCCCCCCACTCCACCACCTATCCTTCTCCAACCACCTCACTACCTCCTCTCTATCCTCCTCATTCACCCCTCCTCATAATCTCTAACCTCCTCACCCCAACCCCCCCCCGCCCCACCATCCCAATCACCATAACCCTACCTCACCTACAACTCCTCCTCCTTCCTGTCTCCTCTCCTTCCTCCTCCTCCTCCCCCTGCACACCTCCTAGCCCTCCAATCCAATACATCACCAACCCTCCTCCTCACCTCCCTACTAACTACCCCCCCCCACTCTACTCTCTCCCTCCATCTCCTCCTCCATCCAAATCCTCTCCTCCTCCTCCTCCTCCTTCCTCCCTCCTCCTCCTCCTCCTCCTCCTCCTACTCCTCTCCTCCTCCTGCTCCTCCTCCTCCTCCTCCTCCTCCTACTACTACTCCTCCTCCTCCTACTACTCCTCCTGCTCCTCCTCCTCCTTCCTCCTCCTGCTCCTCCTCCTCCTTCCTCCTCCTCCTCCTCCTGCCTCCTCCTCCTCTGCCCCTCCTCCTTCCTCCTTCCTCCTCCTCCTCCTCCTCCTACTACTCCTCCTCCTCCTCCTCCTCCTACTACTCCTCCTCCTCCTGCTCCTCCTCCTCCTGCTCCTCCTCCTCCTTCCTCCTCCTCCTACTACTCCTCCTCCTCCTCATCCTCCTCCTCCTCCTCCTACTACTCCTCCTCCTCCTACTACTACTCCTCCTGCTCCTGCTCCTCCTTCCTCCTCCTCCTACTACTCCTCCTGCTCCTCCTCCTCCTCCTCCTCCTCCTACTACTCCTCCTGCTCCTACTCCTCCTCCTACTACTACTCCTCCTGCTCCTCCTCCTCCTTCCTCCTCTTCCTACTCCTCCTCCTCCTCCTCCTACTACTCCTCCTGCTCCTACTACTCCTCCTCCTCCTCCTCCTCCTCCTCCTCCTCCTCCTACTACTACTCCTCCTGCTCCTCCTCCTCCTTCCTCCTCCTCCTACTACTCCTCCTGCTCCTCCTCCTACTACTCCTCCTGCTCCTACTCCTCCTCCTCCTCCTCCTACTACTCCTCCTGCTCCTCCTCCTCCTTCCTCCTCCTCCTCCTCGGCCCTGGGGGTGTTGAGATTTCTCCTCACAGCTCTGCCTCCTTTGTTGTTTGGATCCAGAAAGGTTGATAAAAATGGGATTTGACCCATTAATTAATTCTGCAGTCGTGATTATCCGAGTCATGGAACCTCTTCTCAGCGTGTTTAGGTCTATGTGAGGTTCAACAAACTTTTGGATGAAGTCATGTAACTCGTTACAGCCCTACAGCTCCAAATGATCATTTATGATCCACTAATATTGTTCTTTTACACTAGATTTTGACCTGCATGTTCTCTTTGGACCTCTTTTATATCTGTTACATTGTTACTCGCATCTATATCTCGTCCTCTTTTTTTTTTTATATGGAAGAAGTCAAAAGTAATCTGGGTTACAGGTGTGATCGCTGCAGCCTCTGTCTTCAGTCTCCAACATTTACCTTCACAAGAGATACACAAAAATACCAGGCTAGCTTTTCTCATAGCATTCAAAACAATGGCGGCGATGAGGCTGCGTCACAAGAGCTACCGCCCAAGGTGTGAAGCAGTATGGGTAATGTAGTGAATAGAGTAGTAGTGAATTAGATGCTCTTTTATTAGCCCAGTAGGAAGGAATATAAGGATGTTGTACTATGGCCATAATTTGGCCGTGTATATTGCGTGTAAAATACTATAGTAATACTGCTGCTTTGATTGTATGTATTTATAGTGTTGTAATGTCTTGTTTTTTACAATTAGATGCAAATAGGGCATTATTTGCCTTAGAGAGAAGTTTGTAGAGATGTGTATCATAATTGCATAAACCCAGCTCTGTGTGGTGTAAGAGTAATATCAGTGGAGTTAGAAGAGGAAGATAGACGCCACACAGAACATCGCACAGAGGTCAAGAGTAGATTCATAGTTTGTTTTCTTATTTACAGGAGAGAATGGTACAAAGGTTTTCTTTCTTCAGAACACCCACTCGGGTCAGGCTGCCGTAGTGTGTAGGAGACATGTAAATGTTTCAAGACTCATATTGAACAGAAGGAAATAAGCGGCAAGACTAATTATGTCTTTTATTATATTATAAGACCCTAAATCTCTAAAATAGCTTTGATTTTTGTCACCATGTGTTTCTTGCCTGGTGTGGGAAGAGCCAGTGGTCTGTTGTGGATGTTACAGTCAATAATGGTTTCCGTTGGCACGATCCCAGACTATGTCATCTTCTTCAGAAGTTAAGAAATCCTTACATCATTATTTCATTGACTTGTTTTATTGCATGTTGGTCTCACAACCAATTTTCATTTATGCAAGTTTGTATTTTAAAGAAGACATAAAATGCCTTAGTTTTGGTCATTACAAAGGATAATGAGACTTTTAACTTTCATTTCATGTTTTAAAATGTCAATTGATATTGCAAGAAGAAACTTTATCTATTTAATATGTATGAAGGGTTAAAATATGATATTATCTGTAACTCCCTCTGCTGCCACTAGAGGGGGGGGGAGGATTTGTGTTTTTGTCCAAACTTGACAATTACGGACTGTGATTGTGACAAATGTGATTTCACCTGAGAAACTGCCAAAACTCATTTATGGGCAATACTTTTGTTTTGAAAGGCAGAAACCATGACATCGACTCAGGACTGAGGCAGAAGGGGCGGAGTTATGGTTAACACTTCCTGTTATTAGCGTGGACGGATCAAAAAATAAGGTTTGTTATTCATGAGGGAACTGTGTAAAAGATCAAAAAGGTGGATTTTCATTCTACGTCTGAATAATACCTCCATCTGTCCACGCTTCTGTATGTGACGAAATATTCTCTTTTATGTCGGGCAGATTGCGTTTAGAATGTCTTTGCCCGTTACATTTCCAAAATATCTGTCCATCCATCCATCCATTTTCTACCCTTTAATCCATTTCTGGGTCAGGGGGGTGGCAGTCAGAGATGCCACACAAGTCTCATAGCACCAGCCCCTCACTGACCCTCTGCAGGTGGTGAGTCCACAGGAGGACGGCTGCTCTCTGAGTGTGAGCATAGCCTTGATCTTTCAGTGGGGGCTTTGGGCAAAGTGGGGTTAAGTGTCTTGCCCAAGGACACAACAACAGCAGTCATCAGTGGGAGTCGGTGGAGAAGGTGTAGAGGTGGGAATTGAACCCACGACCTTCAGGCCTGAAGGCCAATGCTCTACCAACTGAGCTACTGTCGCCCTTATCTGTCATTCATAATATTTCAAAGGTTTTTTTTACATTTTGTGCAACATCAAAACCATCAAAAGAAGCCCTCCCTGTCGGACGCTATACATTTGTTAATATTGCAACTTCCCGTTTATATAGAATGTATAATTGATACAAATGTGAAAAACTATATAAGAAAACATGTTTACTTTTATACAGTAGATCAAACTCATTTAATCCATATTGGTTATTACGCTCTAAATATTTCAGTGTTTTATGCCTAAAACATTTATTGTTATTTATTGAATTTAGGCACAGTTTGGGTTAGATTCATCATTCTTTTTAGAGGGTTAGGGTTAAGTCAATTACAGCCATACATAATATACAGTTAATAATTTCACACATAATAAACAGTTAATAATTGTATACATAATAAACAGCATCTTGAAGTTCAAACCACACATTTAGAAGTATGTTTTAGTATAATTGTGATGTCTTATCTTGTGGCATCATCATCCCACACAACCATTACATAAGCAACAGTGAAATCACCGGCTCTTGGGCGCCCCCCAGAGGACACCATCTGAAGAGCCACTTTTTGACCTTTCCCTGTAGGGATGAAAAGATCTTTAGGGTCAATCTGTAATCGGGATTATTCAATTCACAATATAATCCTATGAACTGGGAGACATTTTTTATTAGTGATAATAATAGGAAAAAATAACAAATTTTCCGTCAAAGCTATAGATTTAATCCTTTTTGCCAATAGAAGGTCAGTTTAGAGGATTAAGAGTGAAATAGCTTTCCTTTTTACTTATTTTATAACATATTTATACATTACTTGTAATTACTGAGGCCCAAATTATATTGTTTTAATCATTAGTTATTGAACAAAAAATCATCATAGTAATTGTGTATATTATTAACGTAATTGTGAATATTATATACATTATGTCTGTTGCTGGACAGCTGAATTTCTCATACCTGGATCTATCTAATTATCTATCTAATTACTGTATCTAATTATTGTGATAGGCCTAAATGTTATCTCCAAAAAAGTGAAACCGGGACTTGCCTATTCCCGTACATTGTGACTGACTGGACCTGGCTCCATATCACTGAGGCTTCTGAAGTGCAGTGTGGACCATGTTCCTTTCAGCTGTGTGTGGAGCTATGGCTGGTATCCCCCCCACCCCCCGCCCCCCGCCCTCTCCTCCCTCTTAGAGACTCCCCTGACCTCATTTTACAAGACCCCGAGTTGAGCCAAGCAGCCCAACAGGTGTGCAGCTATGACTTCATAACGCTGGACCCCCAAAGACCACAAGACCTCCACCACATCAAAGGACACATACATACGAATATAATCGCTGTTTACTTAAAGCTGGAGCAATATCGTTAAATATGCTCTATACTATACAACTATACTCTATTTTCACTGTTCTTGTTTGAAAAAGCTGGTCTAAAAAAATGCTAGTTATAGAATCAAACTGTTTTCAGAGCGAAACTCTATGAACTTTAGGACATAGTTCATTATTTGTGGTTTCAAAAACCCTTGGACTGCCACCTTAACGTGGTGGGGGAGTTTGAGTACTCGGATGATCCTGGGAGCTATGCTGTCTGGGGCTTCATGCCCCTGGTAGGGTCTCCCATGGCAGACAGGTCTCAAGTGACGAGTCAGACGAAGCGCAGTCCGAAGCCAACCATGGACAGCACGACAATGAGAACCGTGACGTCGCCCGGCATGGCGCAGCCAGGGCCCCACCCTGGAGCCAGGCCTGGGGTCGGGGCTCGCAAGCGAGCGCCTGGTGGCCGGGCCTTAGCCCACGGGGCCCGGCCGGGCTCAGCCCGAAGGGATGACGTGGGCAGTCCCTCCTGTGGGCCCACCACCTGCAGAGGGGTCCGTGGTGGCGAGGTGCAGAGAGGACTGGGCAGCAGTCGAAGGCGGAGACCTCGGCGACCCAGTCCGCACACCCAACATCTGGCTCTCGGGACGTGGAACGTCACCTCACT